GAGAGAGAGAGAGAGGGAAGGATATCTCGGAGAGTGCATGAGCATAGGGTTTGTTGAATGTTGGTGATGCTTGCTCTGTTGAAGGCTGAGGTCTCGACGATGTCCAGGTCCACCTCCATCTGGGCGTCTTCGCTCAGCTTCACCAGGCCCTGTGCCTCCGAACCAGAGGGACCCTCTTCGGCAGAGGGCTCATGCTCTGAAGGGGGTCTGGCGCTAAGAGTCACGGTAACGGATCTGGGACCTGCGAGGGGAGTCAGTGTGAGCGGTGCCAAATCACTCAAGCCATTCGCCTCCAGCTCGGCAAGCTTCTCAACGGCTTTGGCAAGCGCGTCCTTGCGCTTCTGAAGGTGCCGTGCAGTCTTGGGGGCGCACGGGTTTAGATGGTGTCTTATCATTGGAAGCTCATAGTTTCCAAAACCGAAGAGACTACTATCTATAGCACTGTCAACTTCCACTTATCATGACTGCTCTGGTTGTTACTCGGTAGCATCAATATCACTAGCACAGGCTACTTCTTCTAAAATGATCCTGAACACTGAAGACCCTCAACCCTAAATCCCCAGAATCAGAACCCCGAAGCTCTCAAAGCCCTAAAAGCCTAAACCCTTGAACCCCTCAGACGTCTGCTTACAGATCTCTTCCATTGGGGGATGCTAAACCCGTAAAGTAATCCTTATAGACACCTTGTCGCACCCCTCGTCGAAGTACCCCTCATGGCAACCCTTCATAGGAATGGTAACACCCTTATAGTACCCGTTATAGCAACCCTTCTTGCAATCCTTATAGCATCCCTCATGCAAGCAGTAACCCCTAAACCCCTAAGCTTCAAACCCCTAAACCCGTAAAGCCTAAGACCCTGAACCCTAAACCCCCAAACCCTAAGACTCTAAACCCCTAAACCCTAAGAAAACCCCTAAACCCTAAGACCCTAAGCCCCTAAACCCTAAGACCCTAAACCCCTAAACCCTAAACCTTTCAGAGGATCCCTAATCTTCTCCCCAAAGGCTGAGGGACCCCCGGGCTCCCTCCGGGCTCCCGGGCGAGTCGGACGGCCAGGCGGCGTTCCGTCAGATCCAAGCTGGACCCTAGGTCTTAAGAAGCTTGGTTCACTGGTTTTTGAAGGTTTTGAGGTCTTAAGAAGCTTGGTTCACTGGT